GAGGGAAGGTAGGGGAGGGAGGGGGTAAGGGAGAGAGATCAACCAAAGGACTTATATGCATCCATATAAGCATAAGCAATGGACGCAGACAACAGGGGGTGAGGGTGAGGGCAAGACTGGGGGTATGAGGGGACAACGGGGGGATAAAGACGCATTTGTAATACCTTAATTAAAAATTTAAAAAAAATGTAAATCAAATAAATAAAAATTTAAAAAAGGATTTAAAAAAAAATAAAAGTCCATTATTCATTAATCTGCCTTCTTAGAGAAATCTAGCCCCTCACCATCATCAATATTCCTTCTCTGGCATGAAGAGTGAGTTTTACTGAACTTCCTGTCTTCTCAATCTTTGTTTCTTAGTAGTCTAATTATTTAAAACATTTCCCATCAACTTTTTCTTTCATCACTTTCAAGAATTTCTATGATATACACCACAACCTTTGATCCTTCAATTTTCTCTTGAGTTACCATGCTTCAAATTCTGTCTTAAAAAGTTCTCATAAGAACATGTCTCTATAGCTCCCTAATTTAGAAATTTTAAATAGAATCATTTTGCAAAAAAACAACAGCAAAGTTTCAAAGTAGATTTTAGAAGGCTTTAATGCTAAAAAGCTTTTGTTTTAGAAAACTCCAGATATACATTATAATGGTTAATTTTATGTGTCAAGTTGGCTTGGTCATGGTACCCAGATATTTGGTCAAACATTATTCTATACTAGAGGCCCGATGCACAAAATTTGTGCAAGAGTAAGCCTTCATTTTCCCAGCTGCTGGCACCGGCTTCCCTTTGGCACCTGGGACCTGGGCTTCCCTCGCAGCCCTGGCTTCGTCTAGAACAGTGGTTATCAACCTTCTGGCCCTTTAAATACAGTTCCTCATGTTGTGACCCAACCATAAAATTATTTTCCTTGCTACTTCATAACTGTAATGTTGCTACTGTTATGAATCGTAATGTAAATATCTGATATGCAGGATGGTCTTATGCCAGTGGTCGGCAAACTGCGGCTCACAAGCCACATGCGGCTCTTTGGCCCCTTGAGTGTGGCTCTTCCACAAAATATCACGTGCGGGTGCACAAGTACAGTGTGATTGAAACTCCGTGGCCCATGCCCAGAAGTTGGTATTTTGTGGAAGAGCCACACTCAAGGGGCCAAAGAGCCGCATGTGGCTCGCGAGCTGCAGTTTGCCAACCACTGTCTTAGGTGACCCCTGTGAAAGGGTCGTTCGACCACCAAAGGGGTTGCGACCCACAGGTTGAGAACCGCTGGTCTAGAAGGTTGTCTGGAACTAGTCTGATCTAATTAGCATATTATGCTTTTATTATTATAGCTGTTTCTGTGAAGGTACTTTTTAGATAAGATTAACATTTAAATCAGTAGACACCGAGTAAAGTAAATTACCCTCTATAATGTGGGTGGGCCTCATCCAATGAGTTGAATGCTATAATAGAAAAAGACTGACCTCCCCAGAAGAAGAAATTCTACCAGCAGACTGTCTTTGGACTTGAACTGCAACATCAGCTCTTCCCTGTGTCTCCAGACTGCTGGCCTACCGTGCAGATATTGAACTTGACAGTCACCATAATCCATGAGCCGATTCCTTAAAATAAATCTCTATATATATATTTATATATATATATCTTACTGATTCTGTTTCTCTGGAGAAATCTGATTAATACACATATGATAAACTTTTTATTAACTAAGGTCATTACCATAGACTTTGAAGTCAGAAACATTTGGGTTTTGAATTCAGTCTTTTGACTTTGGGCCTCTCTCTCTTAATGTGCTAAAATGGGTATAATACTCTGAACCTCTCAGAGCTATTGTGCTGATGAAAGGAAGTCATGTATACAACACTTAAAACAAACCAATTGTTTAATAAGTCTTGGTTATTATTATTGTCATTGATGTTACTACCTCTTAGAGTGAAAATTCTCTTCCTTAACTTGTTACATGGGAACAACTGTATGTACTGTCACTTTTTTTTTAATATATTTCATTGGTTTTCTACAGAGAGGAAGGGAGAGGGATAGCGAGTCAGAAACAACAATGAGAGAGAAACATTGATCAGCTGCCTCCTGCACACCCCCCACTGGGGACGTGCCCACAACCAAGGCACATGCCCCCAACCGGAATCAAACCTGGGACCCCTCAGTGCGCAGTCCGGCCGCTCCATCCACTGAGCCAAACCGGCCAGGGCGGTACTGTCACTTTTTAAAAAATATTTTTATTGATTTTAGAGAAGAACAGAGAGGGAGAAACATCAATGATGAGAGAGAATCATCAATAGGCTGCCTCCTGCACACCCCGACTGGTGATCAAGCCTACAACCCCAGCATGTGCTCTGACCAGTAATTGAACCGTGACCTCCTGGTTCATAGGTTGATGCTCAACCACTGAGCCATGCTGGCTGGGCTAGTACTGTCACTTTTATCCTTCCTCTTTATGACTCCTTGAAATGTGTAATGATCACACAACATCCATCTTAAGTTGCATATTTAAAAATTTTTTCTTACAGCATGGAAATTAATAGTTACTACTTACTTGAGCCTTTGTAATTTGAAATTTGTATATTTTAAGCCTTCACAGAGCAATTTCAAAGCTGAAGCATAAAATCCAGGTCAATGAATGACCGTCTGGTGCTGAGAACAACTGCTAGCACCCCACAAGAATATGGAGAAATAAAGCATCCATAAAATCTTCAGAAAACAGAAGAATGACCTCGTTACCTTATTCATGCTCTCCCCCAACACAAACAGAAATTGACAAAAATAATATTCTATATAATAAAAGGGTAATATGCAAATTGACCCTAATGGTGGAACTACCGGGACAACCGGTCGCTATGATGTGCACTGACCACCAAGGTGCAGACATTCAATGCAGGAGCTGCCCTCTGGTGGTCAGTGTGCTCCCACAGGGGGAGTTCCATTCAGCCACAAGCCAGGCTGAAGGCTGCGAGCGCAGCAGTGGTGGCGGGAGCCTCTCCCGCCTCCTCAGCAGTGCTAAGGATGTCTGACTGCGAGAGGGCGCAGGCTGGGCTGAGGGACCCCCCCAAGCGCACGAATCGTGCACTGGCCTCTAGTGAACAGATAACAAACTTTCCTGCTACCATTTACCTCAGTTCTGTAAGATATAGTTTGTGTTAATCTTTCACACAGAAGTTTCATTACTGAATCTTCCGGGGTATTGTTTTATAAATCCTAAATCTGTCAGATACTGGTTGGATTCAAATACTAAGGAGAGGTCCCTACTACAAGAAGCTGTCAGGTGGCAGTAAATTAGTCTGTGTGGAGAAAAAGACATTTCTGAGAAGAAAGAAAATAGGATTCTCTTTAAAGGTACCTATTTGCAACTTACTGATGTAATGAATTATTTCAATAAATTCAACAATTAATTTATTGGGTGCTTTCCACTGTTCTAGATGCTAAAAACACAAATAATTATGCCCCAGACCCTGCCCTCAAGGAACATACAATTAATGAGGAAAAATGAGAAAATCATGGATTATAATATTATGTGAAAAATACTGCAAGTAGTATGGACAAAGTACCATGAAGACACAGAAAGGTGGCACAATTCAGCCTAGCTTTGGGTGGGGTTTGGAGGATCAAGAGTACTTATAAGTGGAAGAAATAACTGAGTGCTGTTGTGAAAAGGAATAGCAATTAAAGAGGAGTTAGGGGGATGAGAAGAATGGGAGTGGGGAGAGGCGCTGAGAGACAATACACTCATGGAGCAACCTGTGCAAAGGCCAAGAGGAAAGAGAAAGGATGCTTAATTTGAGAAACTGCCAATTATCTGCTATGGCCTATTTTAAAAGACTGGAAGGATACATATCAAGCTATTAGCAGTGGTTAGCTCCCAGATTGGGGGAAGGGTGGCGTTACAGGGAGCCATTTACTTTCTAGGTAATTAAATATTATTTATATATACAATTATTATATACTTAAAAATTATAAGAAGTTATAAGAAAAATGTTTTTATTTTGAAAAATGTAACATGTTTATTAATAAATTATTTTTACAGTAGAGAAAAAATAAAATATATATTTTTTAATGTACTATATTCCTACCTCCCAGAGACAACCAATGTTAAAAGTCTGGTGTATACCCTTCCTTCTTTTTCCAAGACACTTGTGCAAAGACACACACCCACACACCCACACCGCGTGCGCATACACAGATTCGTACATTTTACAAAAATGGAGTTATAGAAAACATTACATCAAGTTTACATACGCTTGTCATTCAGTCCCATTGTAAGCCCATAGACAGAAACTGCGATCCGGTTATAGCACAAGGTCATATAATAAGTGGCAAAGTAGGGCTCTACCTGGGTTCTGTCTGGTTTATCCCATAGGATTCAGAAAGCCATCGGAGTTTTAAAGAGACATGATCACCCCTCTGATGATAAGGTAGGACAGAAGGCAGACCTGACATCAAAAGGCTGCAGGAGTCCAGAGAAAAAAATAGCAGGAGATGGGGGTGACGATGGTGGTGGCTGTGACCGGCCGCAGATTCCAGACAGTCTCAGGAGTATATAGGGCTGGGATTTATGACTATTACAGTGACTACAGTGCTCAGTCCTGGGTCAGTGGGGTATTAGGCTGTTTTCTGGCCCCAACCTCTTCCCCAGTGGGAACCTGAGGCCACTGGGAGGATTGGACTCGTCCGTGTTCTAGAACATTCCATTTCTAGGAGGAGCGCGCCCCCCCTGAGTGGGACAAACCTTTGTGGTGGTGAGGGAGGGTGAAGTTTTTTTATACACGATTACAAGTGCTTTGCATTCTTAGATCTAAGTCTTTTCTGACCACTCCTGTCTCTTCCACCTTCATGAGCTTTCAACAGTATAGTGGGTCCCCTGATGTCCTGGGGGTGGGAGGATGGGAAGGATATTCCTGGCGCATTTGCTCCCACCCTTGCTGTCTCTGGAAATTGGTACAGTCCCGGGGTATAAGGCTCCAGGGTTGGGACTCAGCCTTCCTTTTCCCCCGGAGACATTGGAAGGAAAGGTACCTTACGTCTTTGGGCGTGGTGGGGAAGGGGGCACAGTGCAGAGTCAGCGGGTGTGGTCTGCGGGTGTGGTCCGCGGGTGTGGTCCGCAGGTGCGGTCCACAGGCGTGGTCCGTGTACACTTCCTTTGGCACAGCATCTGGAGAGAGGAAAACTGGTGGGAGGTATCCTGTGTGTTTGGGGGGGAGATGTTTGAAGAGGGGGGGAGGGAAAGCGGATGGGAAGAGCCTTGGGGGAGGGGCTAACTAAAAGCGGAGGCCCTAACAGAGGAAACAACTAGTTGATTTATCCCTGCAGTGCAACCAGGCCCCTAAGGCCCTCTGCTATCATGGCCTTGAGACCCGAGGACCCCTCTGGTGGGTTCCAGCATGGCAATGTGGTGGCTTTCATCAACGAGAAAATGGCCAGACACATAAAAGGCCCTGAGTTCTACCTGGAGAATATATCCCTGTCCTGGGCGGAGGTGGAAGACAAGCTCAGGGCTATCCTGGAGAACAGCGCAGTGACCAGCGAGGCCAAAGAGGCCTGTGCCTGGAGTAGCCTGGCCCTGGGCGTGCGCTGTGCCCGCAGGCAGGGCCAGTTACACACTTGCAGGGTGCAGTGGCTACAAGACTTCACCAACCTGCACAAATCGGCCTTACAAGCCTTGGCCTCCAACATGAACGAGCTTACCGCGAAGCACGAAATGGAGCGCAGAGAGGCAGCCTATCAGCTGCAGCTGACGCTGGCCAAACTGGCTGAGGTTCAGAAAGAGAAGGAACTGCTGAGGTGGAAGCTTCTCCAGGCTGTAAGATTACCCCACTTGGTACTACCCCATCTTCCCTCCCAGCCCCTCCACCCCCTGAATGGAATTTAACCCTGCCCACTTCTCTACAGGAGATGGCGTCTTCCTGGGAATGGCAGCAGGTTTCAGAGGGGCCAGGCCTGACTACTACCAGTGTGTTTGGGGCAAACGGAGCAGGTGAGGAGAAGACAAGGCGGAGGTTGCTGTTGCTACTACTACTGCTAACTGCTGCTGTAGAAGGAGGAAGACAGAAGGATGCAGAGGGGGTATAGAGGGTGGAGGCGGCCTGTAGCTTTGTGGAGCAGAAAACGTACACCTATGGCAGGCAAAGGCAGGGACATCTCAGATCAGTAGAAACAGCCATGCTTTATTTTTCTGGGACTCTCAAGCCTAGGTCCACAGTCTCACAAGCAACCCTTCCTGTCCAGCTCCCTGCCTTATTCACATACCCATTCTAATGCCCCCTTTTCCCTTCCCAGAAGCACCCACACCATCCCCACCATGGGCAGCCTTCACAGCAGGAGCTCCATTTCAGGCTGTCTACTGGGGCCCCTCTATGATGGGGGCCCAGGGAACAGATCCTCAAGAACCCCAAAGAGACCAGAGAGCCTTTGAGCCCCAACAGCTGAGAAGACTTCCAGCATCTCACAGGCCCGGGGATTGGAACTGCCTTTGGTGTAACCCTATGAATTTTTCAGGGAGGGAAATTTGCTACCACTGTGGGAGGGGCACCTGGTTACAGAACCCTTAAATTCAGAAATGTGAAATATAACAGAAATATATCCCAAAGGGATATCAATATTTGGTGGGGGGGGGGCTGTGTTGAGTGGGGGTAAGGGAATGAGTGGGAGAACAAGACTAGTGGAGTTGGAGGGAGGCGGGGTGGGAGGTGGGAGAGAAATGCTTTGATGATCCTCTTTGTGTTCCAGAGCAACGGTCACCAACCGGTGGTCTGCAGACCACTGGTGGTCCACAAGGTCTGAAAGGTTGGTGACCGCTGGTTTAAGGAAACCTTTGGAGCAGCGTCCACCAACTGGTGGTCCGCGGACCACTGGTGGTCCGTGAGGTCCGAAAGGTTGGCGACCGCTGTTCCAGAGCATAAGTATTCAACACGCCAGAAGTGCTGTTTATTTGTATGTATCTCTCCCCCACCCTAGTATCTGAGGGACCTGGTTACCCCTCCCTTCCTACCTAGGCTCTAGATTATTGCAGCAGGAGTGGACATTTGACCCATCCTGAGGCAAACAGATTGTCACACTAGAGAATCAGAAGAGAGACAGATTTCATAGTCAGGATGGTGTTGGGCAGTGAAGCAGTGAGTCAATTGGAGTTGAGGCCAAGGTCAGAGCCATTGACCTGGGGGCCTCAGCCAAGGCCAAGTGTCTTAGAAGACACCAGTATGACATCCCAGAAAAAAGAGGCACAGAGAAGCAGAGAAAAGTTTATCCTGAGACCCTAGAGATAAAAGAGTGGAGGCCCAACCATTTTTCCGCTTCCTGCCATTGTGCTGTGTAAAAAATCACTCTACCCAGATCCCCTTTTCTTTAAACTAACTGGAGCTGCTTACTCTTCTGTGGAACCAGATTATTTCAAAGTCAGAAATTGGCACCAAAAGAGGAGCAACAAACCACAGACTGTCAAAGAAAATGTCAGAACTGGCCAGGGAGATACCTCAGTGATTGATGGGTAGTTGGGATTCCTGCTCCCAAGAGTACTCAGGGATGAACTGAACAAGAAGCTCATTCATGTTCTGAGTGAGTTATATTAGAAGAAATAATCAAAACAGGCCTGGGGTTAACGCCCGCCCCCCTGGGGTTAATTTGGGAGGGGAATTTGGGTACAAATCTCTCAGTGAATTCAGAAATGTGGAATAGAACATATCCCAGTGGGAAATTAAATTCCAGAGAGGGGGTGACAGGAAAGAGGAAGGGGGAAGATGGTCTTCCTCTCTACCTTTCATGGCAATAAGCTTTGTTGAGAATGACTAAATGCATAGTTTAGCCCACAGGTGGAAGGATGGTGAGGAGTCACACCAGACTGAGACAACTGGAGAAGCCCAGGACATCACCTGGCCACTGTGGACCTAGAGACTGAAGTTGTCATGGCCCTGCGACATCTCTGCAGCAGCTACATGTGACTGGGCTATTTCCTTTTGGGGCAAATGTGGATAACCATCAGAATTGGGGACAATACCTAGCTTGTACTTATCAGAAATAACCTTGGGCTTGTTTATATCCTTCTAGGGCAGGGCTTCCCAAACTCAGCACTCTTGACATTTGGAGTTGGATAATTCTATGTTGCAAATGGCTGGTACACTGTAGGATGTTTGGCAGAATCCCTGGTTTCTACCCTGATGCCAGTAGCACATCCCCCAAATTATGACAGCCAGAAATGTTTCAAGATAATTACCACATGTCCACTGGGGGGTAAAATTGTTCCTCATGGGCAACCATGGAGGCAATGAAATACTTAAGAGTATTCAGAATAAGTGCCAGGGGAGCAAGTCAGCGGTGCCCAGGGCTGCAGGGGGCCTGTAAGAGAGGAGGTAAAAAGTGTTCATTGGGTCTGGCATTCACTTTTGATCTTTGAGCAAATCTGGGTGGGGGAGAAGCAGAAGCCAAACTGACAGTACTGAGGAGAGAGGGAGCAGGAAGTAAGGAAGTACAGTTAGCGAAGGGGGCTCTTCAAGGACTCCTGGCTGTAAAGGGAAGGAGTGATGTGAGATACATAGCTGAGAGGGTTCTTTTGACGATGGGAGAAACTGGAGCCATGGGGAAGGAGACAGCTGAAGAAAGCTTGCAAACACAAGAAATATATAAAAGAATGGGACAGATCCTGCCCTACTGTATTGGAGGACTATCTATTCTACTGTTCAAAAATATATGAAAGGTCAATTTTGTTTTTTGTGAAACAAAACCCCCAAAAGTATTGTGTATATGTATGCTATATATATTAACACATTGTTTGCGGGTAGTTTTTATCGCGCACTAACAGGTGGCGCAGGCCATTTTTGCTAATTTTTTGCGCAAATGGCAATGTTCAGTAAAATTACGATAACTTTAGTTTACGTATTTATACATTACCTGCATTCTACCGCTAGTCTATAAAAAACGTATTAATACGTGTCCCGCGCTCTACTACACTGGTAGGACGTATAAATACGTAAAACATGTAAACATGTTTCCCGCATACAATGTGTTAATAGATGTTTTGTGTGCCCTATGTTACAGATTTATATTTGAATAAGCAAAAAAAAAGACACTTAGCAAACAAGGTATTACCTAGGGAGACTGGGATCAGAGTCAGGGGATGGAAAGTAGGAGTGGATGGGTGCGGGGGTTATAGGGTGCAGTGGGGTTGGTTACAGTAAGGCATTAGGGTGGAGGGATTGTATATCTTCAGGTACTTCTGTGCTGTGTAAAATAAAATAAATGTTCACAAAAATACAGTAAAAGGAAGTGAATTTATTGGCATGAGTAGATTTAGATAGGCCATCTCTTCTTTTGGGGCAGAGAGGAAGGAGAGCACACACTGATCTGTGTGGTGAGGTGGTGGGAAACCAAAGGGGCTCCTGCCTGTGTGTTAGTGACATGGACAGATAACAAGACAAGGCACTTGAAAGTGAGTGAGGACAAAAGATCAGGGCAGAGGTGGGGGCTTCTAAGCAGTGGCACTTTGGGGAATAACAGCAGGGGAATGGTTCAGGGAGAGAAAAGGATTATCAAGTTGCATGGAGATGGACAGGACACAACTGAAAGAAAACCAAGGGGGAAGACAGTGGGAGTCTTGAAGTAAAAGGAAGTAAGTCCAGGACCGCACCAGTCTCTTAGGAGTTACAGATTGCCACCCACTGACTACAGCAAAAACAGCACATGCAAATAGGAAGGAGGCAGGAGGGGCTGGCAGGGATCTGTACCTCATTCCCTACTCCTAGGCTCAGCACATGTTTTGCTGTACTTCTATGGAGAAACTGAGCACTTGTTATACTTTGTTTTCAGGCCCAATCAGCTAGGAGTTGAACTCTAGACATCTAGTGTTTACCTGCAAATACCTAAGAGTTTGAAGGAAATTTCAACTTACTTCAGGTCTTTGGTTTTGCAGTATAGATTGCATAGTGCTTGGCAGAGCAAGTATAGCTGAGACACTGGCAAACTGTGCAGTTGGAAGGACCTAAAAGAGATGAGAAGGCAAAAATAATTTTTAAAAAATAATGAAAACCAAAAATTTTAAAACGCTTATTTTTGCTTCTGTTACCATATTAGTACTAATCTATTTCTTGCAAAAATCTTAGGAGGTATTGACCCATTTTGCAGATAAGGGAATTAAGGCACAAAAACTTAAGTAACTTGCCCAAAGTCCCATAGGTAGGAACAGAACACAGGTCAGTACTCAGGTCTGTCTGACTCCAAAGCCAAAGCCATGTTATTATGTGCCAGGCACTGAGGTAACCACTTGACGTACACAAATTATCTGGTCCTTAACCCAATGACAGGCACCACAATCACCATTTTGCAGATGCTCAGAGAGGTCAAGCTATCTTGGTTGTCAGTCCTAGTAGAATTAATGGCAATAATTAAGAATTAGGAAAGTTCAGTAGTAAATTCTCAGTCAACATGCTTGAGAAAGCAGTATTTTGGATTAAATTTTGAAGAGAGAAAGGCAATATGGTAGGGGGTAGAATTCCGTCTAAAGCTGATTTTCTGGAAACCCTGGGGGAACCAGAATTCTCTTATTGTTTCCATCAGTGTTTAAAAAGTTAAATGTGTTTATCCATTATTTCACTTTAGAATATACAGTTGGATTAAAGCTGTCATAAATTAGTTAAGATATTGTAGTCCTTCATAACTCCAAATCCATGTAACCTCTCCTACCCCTTCCCCTGTAAGTGCCAAATTCTTGCTGCACTTCCCCTTTCCATTTCCCTCAAACACACATACCCGATGCTAATTTCTACCACTATGCTACTGCCCCTGAGGAAATACAACTCTAAGAAAAAAGACTCAGGTTAACTCTCCTCAAATAGATGCTTCTGCCCACTCATCTCCTTCTCAAGGCCACTGCCCCTCAGCTGGCTCCACACTAAAGGAGAGGCACTGTCAATCTTAACTGGAATACTGAGAACAAACTTAAGACCAATAGCATTTTCTATATACCACAGATTTATGTTTTCTTGGATGCTTTAGTCAGTAAGTTAGTAGACATGTATTGTGCAGTATAGAATCTGTATTATATAAATACTACAGGCCTGATGCATGAAATTCATGCAAGAGTAGGCCTGCCTTCCCCTGGCTGCCGGCACCGGCTTCCCTCTGGCACCCTGGACCCAGGTTTCCCTCCAGCCACTGGGACCTAGGACCCGGGCTTCCCTCTGGCCATTGGTAGGCACCTGGTACCCGGGCTTCCCTCCTAGTCCAGGCTTCATCTGGAAGGTCGTCTGGAAGCTACATCTGGTCTAATTAGCATATTATGCTTTTATATAGACTAAAGGCCCTGAGCACAAAATTCATGTGCAGGTATGGTCCTTAGGCCTGGCCTGCGATCAGGGCCATCTTCCCTGGGTGCCCGCAGCCAGACCTGCCCCCCGCCGCCACCCACACCCGGTTCCCTCTTTGCCATCAGGTGATCAGAGCCTGCCAGCCTGGGAAAGATACCAAGAGGTGGTCAGTGCGCCTTATAGTGACTGGTTGAGCAGTCATTCTGGTCGTTTGCATATTATCTTTTTATTATATAGGATAGAGTCCCAGTGCACGGGTAGGGGCCAACCAGCCTGCCCTGATGGGGGCCCCGGAATGGGGGGTGGGGTTGGGTGGGGCAAGGGCCCATGGGCCCACGGGGGGCAAGGCCAGCCGGGGCGAGGAGCCATGGTCGTTCTGGTCTCTGATCATTCTGCCATTTTGGTTGCTGAGCATTTGTTATATAGGATATATAAGCCTCTTTGAATTTCAGCTCTTGACCCTCTGTGAAGGTGCCAAGTCTGGTGGAAAGAGCCCAGGCAACATACACAGGAGTATAACTCTATCCCTTACTAACTTGGAGCTCTCTGAGGCCTCAGTGATGAAGTGTATGTAGAGGAGAAAGACGACCAATTCAGTATTAAACTTATAACCTTTTCCAGTATAGTCATCAACACCAAAATAGCAGAGTCCTCAATGATAATCTTGATGACTTACATACTCATAATAAATACATAATATAGAGCACATTCACAGAGTGATAATAAAGACTAACAGACACACAGGTGTATACATAGTGGCTAGCCCAGTGCTTGGCACAGAGTAAGTGCTCAAAACTGTTAGCTTTATCTGAGTATCTACCTAGGCCAGTGTTCAATATATGATAGTTATTCAATAAATCCTTATTATGTTGGTTGACATAAAATATGGAATGTAGAAATGATTCATTTTATTTATGGACAATGCTAGAAATGATCATGTGCCTGAATACATTAAAAACAACAACAAGGCCCATCATTTTTGAAGACCAAAACACTGGAGAAAAGGCATTACTCATTTTTTAGATATCAAAGCTGGTAGTATGAATGCTAAAGCTCATTCTTCCTCAAATACAAGTAAATGCTGACACTTAAGAGAGACTGACAGGCAGGAGACTGACTGATTTTTACACAGAATGACATAGCCAGAATGTCCATTTTTGTTTATTTTTTATTAATCCTCATCAGAGGATATTTTCCATTGATTTTTAGAGAGAGAGTGTGGAAGGAAGGGGGAGAGACAGAGAGAGAGACAGCAATTGATTGCTTCCCACACAGGTCCCGACGCAGGGCCAGGGATTGAGCCTGCAACCGAGGTGCATTCCCTTGACTGGAATTGAAGCCAGGACCCTTCAGTCCGCGGGCCTACGTTCTAACCATGGAGCCAAACTGGCTAGGGTTCCTTTGATGTACTTGGAAAAATAGAACAGATACACATCACTCAGGGTCTAAAATGACTTCATAAGAGTCATGTCACCATCTCCCTGTGACTGCAGGACACTGCAGATCATGTAGGAGATGATGGGAAGAGAAGACATAATATCAAGGGCTTCATTTTCTTGCAGACCATAAAAGAACCTCATTGTTGTATCAGCACCTGAAAAGTGACTCAAGAAATATTTTCTCAATACTCCAAGGAAGAAACATGGTGGCCAGTAGGTCTGGAGTGAGGGAGAGAATGTGAATAAGTAAGGGAGTGAGTGTTTGTGTGTGTGAGGGAAAGTATGATCGATAGATCGCCCGGGAGCCTTGGAGGCAGACGATTCGGGCTCTCCTGGCCAAAAAGTCTCTGCTACCGTCACAGCTACTCCCTAGGCACAGCTCCAGCTTGGAGAGCATGCCACCTTGAAAGGTTTATAAGGTTGTACGTAGGAAGAGGCTGCAGAGAGCAGCAGCAGCTAGGCACAAAGCCTTACCACCATCTGGACTCACCATGACCTGGGCCCAATCCCATGTACATCTCCCTCTGGTGCCCACAGAGGTTACAACCCAGAACTACACATTTGCAACAGACACCAGCGGGGCTTCTCTGCACCTGGTACACTCAGCCAACC